ATGCAACATCCCAATTCAAACTTTTCGTTCGATAATAACCTTCAGATTATTTTTATAGAATTTGTGGAGCTTTTACATTCGCGTTCCACTGAACTCCTTGGTTGTTTCTTGCACCATCAGGCCGTAATTCTTTCCCCTGACGATCCACAGAATTCTTGATGAAGAGCGAGATTTTAGGTTTTCTGTCATTTGTTACAAGGTCAATCTTTCGTCCGTTGTCAGTCTTTGTCACTTTCATGAATCATGTCTCTTAGTCTGTTCAGAGTCTGACTCAAAACATTTGACCCGCTGGACTCCTTTGCTGCACAATTTGGAATTCCAATCCATCATTAGGCCTAAACCATTACATCGTGCCCTGACACCAGCGTTTAATTCGTTGCGTGAGCCTTCACACGTTCCAAGATAGCACAGCCACCGTGATAAAGCACGATCGATATAATCGAAATCACCAACCATGCTTGGTACAGTCCTCGTCATGACTGCTGTGCGCTCGATTGTTTCTTGTTGTTTGACATCAGAGTTAAAGTGAAGCATGAAGGTTATTGTTTTGGGATGTTGAGACGTGTATTCTTGTGGAAGTTTACCGACATTTCAGAGGTGGAGGCAGTAAGCACCTATGAAACGTCGGTAAACATTTAACAAACTACACGTCACAGCATCCCAGAAGACAATCGTCTTTATGATTGCCACTGTGAGAACCCGAAATCTCCTTGTTCGTAAACATTGATGGGAATAAACTGTAGACCAATCAATCAGTAGATGGCTGTCTTATGGTTTGTTGCGCCGTGTCTACTAGACTGCACGGAGCAGCAACCCAGAAGACTGCCATCTTCGGACACGGCGCTGAGAAAATCTCGAATCCTACTTACAGTAAATCAGTTCTTGTGAAAATCGGTATCATCGTGTCATTGCAGGACAAACCCCCCCACTTCCCACCTTTGTCATGATCGATGTCAGTATGGTTGTCGTGTGGACTAGTGAGGCAGGGAAAATACAAGCGCTGTTCAGTACGGAATGTTTACATTTCCTGACATGTTTTGTCAGATTTTTCCTTGTTCGATCCTGAGAATCTTGCGGCTTCTAAATTTTATTTTTGCGATGAGTTTGGTTGGTTAGCTGTAATGAAAAATGAACATTAACATCTTTTTCCTAGGTGGGAGTCGAAACCGCGGCCTCAGTGGTCGTTCGCCATATGCACGCTGATCTGGCCTGCACCACTCTTGCACGCCTGTCCGTCCTTCTGAAGTAAAGGCGGTTTCTCTAGCATAATTTCGGAAAACAAGAATTGACCATACAGCTGTGAAATAGCCTCGTGTCGTGCTGTCTGTCGTTCCGCGAAGCGGAAGTTAAAAATCGTCTGGTGCGAAGTGGAGGGATCCATCCTTCATGTCAGGGTTGTCCAAGAAGTAGACTTGCAGTAATACCTGTATTTCTTCAGCAGTTATGTAGCCTGTGAGTGATTTGAATGGACCTTGGTTCTACATTATAGATTTGTCAAACAGTAATGAAAATGTATGTTTTTATTTTAATACAAAGTGACAAGTAGACCGGGATCCATTTTTGTTTTTAGTACTGACGTTTTAGGGGGGGGGGCCCCCCCAATTGTCATCCAAGAGGAAGCTTCTCGGAACTTCTCCACTGCGTTTGCCGAAACCTTGACTTAAGCTTGGGAACAAATGGCTTTATTACATATTTGACGGTAATTTTACACGTGCTGAATGGTTCTTGGACTATCATCGTATGCAGCATCTTTAAAACAAGTTCACAGATTAAATCGCAGCTTGAAGGCCTGGAAATGTAGTTGGCGAGCGGTCTGATGATTTTGAAACCAACAATAAAATATGTGCTCTGCCAAAATAAATGTATTGCTTGTATGGTTTCAAAGCCAGATAATGAGATTCTACAGGACTCCTGGCTTATGTTCGAATGCTTGACCGTTCAGAACTTCTTGGACTGTGATGTTGTTTTCTCATGTACACAACCAGTTCCGTGTTGGAGGTATAACACACGATTATACAAAATAGGTGCATATTTCGATTGTTTGGCGACTTCTGGAACCTTCTTGTTTGAAAATATCTCCATAAAAACAGTTTCAGCCTTTAATTGAGTCGGTATAGTATCCAACAACGAAAACTCTTTATTTGTCGACATTTACATTGCGAATTATAGTCTTCAGGAGTTTGGGCAGCCCCCCTGTCTTGAACATTGTTATTGTAGAATACCACGAGGGACCGCCCGGCTTACGAAAAGGCATGGTGGCATCGAAGCGGAAAATTAGGGATGGAATACTTCATGGCTGGAGATCGTGGAGCGGAGACGCTTTGCCTCAGAGGGATGGTGGGTGGTTCCGGTAGCGACTCCAGTTCTTACGATAAACGCTGTTACCGCACCTCTACTCCTTTGCCTTTTATTCTTGTGTTCTTTTCCGACTCTGTGGAGGCCGATCTGAGAAGCGTAAGTTAGCCGGTTGGAACGCCGTCATACATGGGAACAGTAGAGGTTTGGAGCATGAAGGAGGAATCTTACGACCGAGAAAGAGCGTGTCAAACTAAACTAAATTCAGAGCAAGTTAAATACAATGAATGCTTAGTAAGTTACCATTCAGTTCAGAATCTTTGTATTCCCGTCTCCAGTGTAGAAACAAAAAGGTTAATGTATACACAACTATGTTACTGGGGATACTGGGAACGACCCGTTCTTCAAGTGCCTAAGCACTGCGGGTCCCAACTTTTCGTTGGCTTGATCTATAGACATTTTGGTAGGACTCCTTGGACGAGGGATCGGCCCGTCGCAAGACCTCTACCTGTGCACAGGAAGGCACGACACAGAAAAGCACGAACAAACATCCATGGCTTAAGTGGGATTCGGACTCACGGTCCCAGTGACCAAGCGACACAAGGCCCACCCCTCAGACCGCGCGGCCACTGCGGATTCCCACAACTATGTTTGCAGAAGTAACAGGAGTCTGACGAAAATTGCACAGGCATAATGAGGATGTTTGTAATTTTTACTCTTCACCAACTGTCATCAGAGACACGGTAGAGATAAGAAATGCATGCAAAATTTTAATTGAAAAACTGAAGGAAAGACATAACTTCCGAAATCTAAAATTTAAATGTGAACGCAGCATTTATATCAAGTCTATATGATATGGATTTTATTAATTATTTTTGTCTTGTCACATTCTACTGTTTTTCTGTTTTGGTAATTAAATCCGTTTAGTTTTAAAATAACGAGCTGCTTTTGAACATACCTGCTAGAAAACTGAAGTAACACGTGAAATTTCTATGTTAAATTATTTTGTGTAAAGGGACAGTACAAAATATGGAAATTGAAGCATAATGTCGGAAGTGCCTGTCTACATGGTACGCATTGTAAACCTCATACGGACGTGAGTAGTCCGCTACGCTCCTCGTTCGCTGTACCCTCTAGGGACTATCGTGTAAGGTGCTCAGAAGGCAACTCGAGGCGCCATGTTACCAGTGCTGATCGGAAGTGTTTCGTATGCAACAAGTGCACGTATGATAAAATCGTATTTGCAAGTAGTGATCCATTTTGGGACCAACACGTCTCTTAGGCTAGGATTCCGAATTGCCCTCCCAAGGCTTTTTAAATCCAGCGTTTTCTTTTAAAAGATTAGTGAAATGCCTATAACACCGCAAAGCACCGATAAGTGTGAATTGTCAAGTTATCCAGACGAACCGTGTAACCGTGTGAAAGCGAATTGTTTAAAAGTGTTACACGCATAGAAGTATATCCGTGATCCGTGTATCCATGATTACAAAAAACCGGGAGAAACCGCCTCGAAAAAGTAAAAATAAATCTGCTAATCATTTCGAATTTGGATTAAGATAATCGGGAGTATAATTCTAATTGAAGGTGTGATATTAAATTTGTCTCGATAAATTTTTAACAGGTACAAAACATTTTCGGACGATATTAACAAAAAATGTTAATGCTACGTAAATTTGTGCGTGTTCTTTGTGGAGTGAACAAGTGCAGTGGAGGAGCAACATAGATTGAGGTTATGATTGTAAGATGTCCTGTTGCCACATTTGCCTTACAAAGCCATGTCTGAATGCACAGATATTCCCAAGCAGAAAGGAAGACTGTGGTCCTCATCCATTCATATTTGGTGTCACTTAAGGCAGCTGTCTCATTGATGTATCTGTCTTCAAACCTGAGATATTTTTGGAAACATTATGTCAGCTATGCCCCAGATGAATTGCTGAGTGCGCTGACAGATGGCAAACTGCTTACATGCAATTCCTTAGAAACCTGTTTAACCAGTAAGCTGAATGATGAGCAGGGTGATACTAGGTGAATAGGATAAAGTGAGGATAAGATATGATGAGAAAGTACTGTGTTGACCAAGTAAGTAGCACAAATATTACAATGTATTCCAGAAATGAAATGTTTTTGGCAAGTAATATGTTGTTTTATTTAAGATTTATGATGATTATTGTATCTTGTTTTTGACTTCGATTTCTGTGACTGCTGTTGTTATATACATTGCATCTCATACACTTTAGTCAGAAGATAAAAGTTTATTCCTAATTGGGTTCTTTCGTATAGACAATAAATTAATTCTGATGAAATTTGATTAAACAGCATCATTCTAAGTGTTGCGAAAATATATTGAGCAAAGAAGAAATACTTGTCGCATACAGTATGTTCCCAAAAAGATGTATCTATTATGATACAGAATATTAACCTTGTTATCAGTGTCCATGTGTTGTGTTTATGGAAGATGTGGATATGGCAATTTTAACATGTACGTTAGCTGTGCTAATTCACCAAGTGCCTATGTTGATGTAATGGTTTAGTTTATAAACATGTTTTTATTTCATTCATTGAATATGTGTACACATCTTTTTGGGATAGCCTGTTAATCTTTCGGAACTGTAACATTCCAAAGACAGGAACACTTGTTCCTCTGTATTACATGCTGTAAATGATTATTGTAATTTGCCTTGTTTAATTCGAAATATCTTCCACAGGGTCGATGTAATCGGGAGAAGCCACCATGCAAGTACTTCCATCCTCCACAACACCTCAAAGATCAGTTGCTGATCAATGGACGGAATCATCTTGCCTTGAAGAATGCTTTGATGCAGCAGATGGGGTTGACCCCACCAGGTCAACCTTTGATTCCTGGACAAGTTCCTGCTGTGGTAAGCTTTTACCATTGAAATCGTGACCCAGTAGTCACAGTTGTTGCTTGTCCAGTTTGGATTTTCTGTGTTTTCAATTATACAGAGTAAAATAATTACACGCTGTTGCTGAAATCTGACTTGTCTGTTGCTTGATGACATTTACTTTAAGCCAAATTTGCGACTGTTACGCTTTTTCGTGCCTGTTATACAGAGAAACAAATATTTCATGTGTTTTGGTCTTTTAAATAGTTACATCTTGGTTAACATACCTGTGCCAGTCCATTCTTGTGGGGAAAATTGACTAATCCTAGCTTTGTTTTTGGCTGTGTCATAAGAACCATCAGAAATCATTGCTGCCCATTTCTCTACTGCAACCAGCTTGTAAATATGGGAATTGGGCAATAATATCATCTCTTAAAGTCTTTTTTCTGTAGAAAACTGGATTTAAAATGGCTAAACACAATCATTGCTGGCCTTGTAATCCTGGGGCCCCAGGTTCGATTCCCGGCGGTGCCCGAATTTATAACTCGTGTTGGGCAAAGCCATGGTCTAGGCAACACAGAGTTTTCCTCTGGGGGCTTCCCCGGTTTCTCCGTGGCATCCCAACAATTACTCCATTCACACACAGAAGAAGGCAATGGCAATGCCTAAAAAACATATATGAACAGGTCCCAGTCCGAGAAAAAGATGGAAGGATCCTGTTCATAATATGTCGCCAACCTCCTGTAAAGGAGATGGCGTAATAAAGAAGAAGAAACCAAATCGTAACTTCCTGCCTGATGCCGTCCTGTACGATGGGATCGACAGTTTGTGATGTAGATGAAGTGACAGGAGAGAACTGGTTTGGTATGTTTCACATTTCCCATTTAGGTGTTTGCTTTGGAACTTGCCACAATACATAGTACAGCATAATTTTGTACAAAAGCAAACCTTTCTTTCTCATGAAGTAGAGGTTAGTTTTTTTTTTTTAAATATAGTACCACTTTGTCTAGAAAAATGTTCAATTCAGAATTTTCAGTATTATAATTTTGCTCATACGAAGTAAATTCTTCAACAGCAAGATGATAAATTGCGGGATGAGACTTTGCTGGTTTGAAGAGTACTGAAATGATGTGCGTCTCTTTGAGAATGTAAATGGGAATAGGAAAGGACTGTGTGGGAACAGTGTTCATCTTTAGGACCATCATCCACAAAGAATTGTTTGCCGGTCACAGTGGCCGCCTGATCTGAGGCGTGGTCTTTGTGCCACTTGGACACTGACGCTATGGGTTTGAATCCCACTCAGGGCATGGATGTTTGTCCGCATCTTTCTGTGTTGTGCTGTCCTGAGTACAGGTAGAGGCCTTGCGACGGGCCGATCACTCATCCAAAGAGTCCTACCAAATGTATAAATAGATTATGCAACCTCCAAAAAGAGAGGAAGAAAGCAGACCCCGCCAAAACGGGACAAACGCTAAGAAAAAGAAGAAGATCTGCAAAGAATTGTTTACATCTGTTCATGTTTCAAATAATTTAAAAGTAATGTTGAAGATGGAAGTCCTTCATGAGATATTTTACTAAACCAAAATTGTTACACCTTTTCTTTAATAAATTATTTGTCACTGTTTAGCTCTCAGCCCATAAGCCAGTTGTTACATGTGACGAGAAGGCACATTGTAAGACACTGCATCATTTTTTCTGTGGATATGTGAAACACCATAGAATCTTGATTTGGATCTATGCACAGTGCTGGCACTACCAAGTTAAACAGTCTTACACAGAACAGATAACATTTTAGCATGACTAAAACCAAAGAGACTGAGAGACTTCTTATTCTCAAATTCTTCCGGAATTTTATATCTCCAGTTTCAACAGATGTCTGAAAAGCCCTTTATACAGTGTAAAGCATGTTTTGAAATGTGTGTGTGGTCTTTTAGGGCATATAAGTTCTCGGCTTATTTTTGTGTGTATGTATAGGAATAATAATGGCACCAATTTACTTTATGCCAAGAAACAAATGCATGTGACAGTTTTAAGATGCTTATTAAAATTTTCTTTTTGTTTTCTGTTTGGTTGGTGGAATAGGGGAAGGTTTTGGAATGCAGTAGTTGTAATGTGATGCACTGTATTAATTTTCTTTTATGGTATGTTTTCTTGTTTTTCTTTTGTTTTTTGAGGTTGACGGGAAGTTGCAGTTTACTACCCCACTGATGCTTGGGCAGCCTTTAATGGTAACTTGGTTTGGCTTCTGTAATCTCCTCATTGTCATTTACTCTATTTCCACAGTATCTCTGCTAAGCTCCTAAACATTACAGACAGAAAGGTGTGCCATTTTCCTCAGAAGTATAAATAACTTTTTTTGAAAAGAGTATTTAAAACGCTCGTTGTCGGCGTGGTGCATTTTATAGTTGCTTATAGGTTTAGAAAATACTACAATGTTTTATAATCTTTACTGACTAACAATATGAATTTGAAATTTCATTTTATAAAGCGTTCTCTTCAGGAGATAATTAAATTATATGTTCAAACTTGACCCTAAGCCATGTACCATATCTGGAAAACTATGAATTCAGTATTTTTATACCATTTTAGGTGCACTCGTAACAAATTAATACACATATTTTTTGTGTAGGCTACAAAGATAAATTAAATATTTTTCAGGTAGTTACCATTTTCCTAGAACTTATTTCAGTAAGTGTTAAGTATGTTTTCCACAACCTGTCATCATAGTGTATGGTGCTAGTGTTGTTCCCACTGCAAAAGTTTGCTTGGCCATCATGTTGGTAATGACAGGAAATTAATATGTTGTGAAGATGGACTGGACTCAAATAGCGTTCTTTTTATACTGAGTTTGATGGAGTCATTCACTGTCTGTAGTATTGTTTCATTTTCAAATTGGGTTCCATGTAAGGAACAAGGTATGAAATTAAAATTAAAAAAAAAATGTAAGATTTGAGGTTTTCACAGCGGTGAGTATGAAGATTTCTGTCTTCTGGGTTGTTGCGTTGTGTAGTCTGGTCGATGCTAACCAACGTTTCAGATGAATCGCCCTGATGACGGATGCAGTATGATCTCTGAAACGTTGGTTAACAAAGTCCAGATTACACAGCGCAACAACCCAGAAGACAAAAATCTTCGATGTAAAAACCTTTGATAACAAGATATACTTAGCACAGATTCCATGGAATGCCTCAAATTTTAAAATGGTACGCAGCATTGGTATGGAGTGAAGTTAATAGGAAAGCTACCTTGTATGTAGTCTGTTGGAAATATCTCCAATCTAGTTATGTGTTGGGGTATTTGTTTCTGTAATATAGTTTTTGTTTATATGTTTGAGGCGTGTATTTAATTCTCATTGTGTGAATGAATGGTGGACAAGTACCTTCATCTATGCAGAAGATGTTATTTGTTTTACGTATTCCTCGCACTGTGAATCTAGGGCTTCTGCTAAAACATGTTTTGTATGTTTGTAGCACTGAATAGTGTTAGTTCAGATGATGCTTTTCATGGAGTTTTTTAAATGCAGTGGTGCAGTATAGTTCATAGATAATAGATATAAGCACAATATATAATTACAGAATGCTACAAGTCTTGGCCAGGAAAATTAAGAGAATTGATCTGAACTGCAAGTGTTCAGTACTGTTTAGTGGATTTTTTTTTGTTCAAGTCTGCTCAGTTTTTTCTCCTTCAGTAACCAACCTTACCTTTCAAGCAAACTGCATGTAGTTAGAGGCCGAGCGAGAAGTGCTGGCACCTGCGCAAAGGACTGATTTTGGTCGTATGAGATGGACCCATCTGAAGCACGCGCTAGAGGGGAGTCAGCTTCAGTTGGTTTGTAGCTCTAGCTGTGTTTAGATCGGTGCGTCACCACAGCTGAGGCTGTGCGACCCCCACTACTACTGAACTTCCCTCTCTCAGCTTACACATTGCGCATTTAGGTGTCAAGACTACTTGTGCGACCTCTACAGATGCAGTTAATAATTCAAATCTCACATAACCATGATGGAATGGGACTAACAGTGTCATATTTTTCTTCTTAAGATATCTTTACTTTGAGTAGGTCATGTAATATATTAACCTTTATCATCCTTCCATCATAGTTTAGGTTCATTCCATCTTGCTCTATGTTGCACTAGAGTACTGTTAAACTCCTAAGTTTGAAGTTTGTGTCTGGCAGCTCTAGTTTACAAGTTTAAATCCCCTATTCCTGTATGATAAAGGAAAATTAAGGAAAATGGCTGTCTTCTGGGTTGCAGTCTGGTAGAAGTTTACCAATGTTTGAGAGGTCATAGCTGCCTCCATCATCAGGGTGATGGGTTCATAGTTGGGTCCTGATTCTTTGCATATTGTCTACTTAACCATGACAATCTGGGATGCTAGCTGTTATTGATCCCTCATCCTGTTGTTTCCTCATGGTACTGCATTGAAGTATGTTTGTAGCTAGATTCCAGAATCAACTCCAAGAGAATTCTGTATGAAGATTTCTGTCTTCTGGGTTGTTGCGCTGTGTAGTCTGGTCGACGTTGGTTAACATCGACCAGACTACACAGCGCAACAACCCAGAAGACAGAAATCTTCATACTCACAGCTGTGAAAACCTCAAATCTTACAGAATCCTGTATCTTTGTTGAAGTTGTTCGGATGTGGCCAAATCTTCATGGTCTCTTCCATGAAGTGACCCATGTAGGCTGTCATTGTAACCAGTACTATGGTGGTATCCTTGAAGCTTATGCCCTGCTTTAATGCAAGATTCAGCCAGTACTGACTTATGCAGTTCACCTGGACAAGTTGGTGGTGAACGAACATATTGAAGCAGGGCATTATTTCATCTTATGGATACCACGGTTTTGGCTGTAAAAAGGAGCCACCATCCCAACAACTTCAACAGAGGTACGGGATACCACTCCTATTTAGTCATGGAACATGATTACCTGTATGCTTCATTGAAGTAGGGCCATGAGAAACCAATGGAAGGAAGCGATCAGCTGAGTCCACCTACCTGTTAATGTTTATTCCATCATGTTAGGCAAAGCATGTAAGAAATTTAGGAAGATAAAATTCTAAGCTAATTCATTGAACCTTCAGGTCCTATAAAGTTGGGGAGCTGAAGAAAAATTCTTCTCTCTGGGGTTTGCCGACTGTAGAGCATCATGTTCTCAGTTTTTGAAAACTTCTACTTATTTAAAGTCTTCGTACTTCTCAGCCAAAAGCAGTTTTTCATTATTCAGATGTCTGAACCCCTGGGAGTGGAGTGGAATATTTAATCAAACTGTCTGTAGAAGGAACTGTCATATTGCAGATCTCGCTTCATAATTACATAATTATTGCAAATCAGAATTGGAATAAGTGCTCTTCCATTTTCGTGCTTTTATGTATTTTAAGCTATGCTTTCTTTGTCTTTTTTAAATTTGGACTAATGTTTTTTGTTTGTATTTGTGTTCCTTCAGTCACAGAAGTTGTGGAAGTGTTATTTGTTACATTAAAAGTTTACTGTTGACCATTGATGTCGATAAAAGTGATGCATCTAATTATAAATATTACTAACAGAATGCATTAAGTACTTTGACAATAAAGGTGGATAAGCAGGATATCATGTTGACCATTTAAAAAAGTTGAAAAATGTTTTGTTCATGTTGGAGGTGAAGTATCCCTCTGACTATTTTTATTGAATGTGTATAAGAAGTTTGGATGTAGAAGCTCAAAACATTTCAAATCCTTAAGTGGACTATGGCACACCTCACTTTAGATTGATAAAAAGAGCTGAAATGTCTAAATATTTTATGGTAATTTACCTGCACTAGAAAAGGTAATGAAGGTTGCAGATACTAGTGTTTTCCTACATTTTAATTTAAAGGTGTCTGATATCTGGTGAAGGACCAGGCTTCATTCTTTTGTCGGCTTCTTTCCGTTTTATCCATAATGAATTGTGCTTCACCCATAATACACTATGTCACTGTAAATTAGCTGGGATTGTCAGTGTCATCTACAGGTTGTTTTTATCATGCACACATTTCAAGCTATTAGAAGTGAAAGTTCAACACAGCATGGGAACTTTATGTGGACAGAAGTAACTTACATGTAAGATTTGAGGTTTTCACAGCGGTGAGTATGAAGATTTCTGTCTTCTGGGTTGTTGCGCTGTGTAGTCTGGTCGATGTTTACCGTTTCAGAGGTCATACTGCCTCCATCATCAGGGCGATGAGTATGAAGATTTCCGTCTTCTGGGTTGTTGCTCTGTGTAGTAGACAGAAATCTTCAAGTAACTTACACATAATTTGCTAATTGATATTTGTAGCTGAAAGTAATTTGAAGAATTTGCTTCAACAGAAATTTATTATAAAAATAAAACCTGTAAGTTAAAACACACACAGATGGAACCATGAAAAGTTATAGGCTAATTATTTCAGTAAGATGTTTATAATGAAGTGTGGCATATGGATATATCTGTTTGAAATTACCGGTTTTAAAAAAAAAATTAAGTAACTGTTGGATATAATTTAAATTGTTTTACACCCACATATACAGCAATAGATGTACTTTCCCTTTGGATATTGGCAAGCCATGACCAAATATAAAGCATTCGTGCACCTCGGTGTTTGTGGCTTACAGTTACAAATTTATGGCTTTGTCTGTGTGATTGTACCCTTTGAGCGTTTTTCTGTCATTAAGGACTGGTAGAAATTCGCCAGAATCTTGTATTTCTACTTTGCTTTATAATGATTTGCATTTCTCCCAGCTGTGTCAAAACTGCCGAATCACGCATCATAACAGACTTGTTACTGATTACTAATAGTTTACCTTTTAATATATTCAAACTTGGTCTATGAAAATGAGAAGATCTGTAATCTTGGGCTTCTGAGTTATGGGAAAATGGTACTTCTAGAATATGCTAAGCTTTGTCTTTAAAAATAATGAGAATGGAGGTGTATTAGTGGGTTCGGTCTGGTGTTACTAATAATAGTTTTAGTTTTTGCTTTCTGTCTTGTATGTCACACATTTATACGTGTATAAATTAGTTATTCCCACTGTAATGTTTGTAGTATATAAATTAGGAGCATTTCGAAATTGTGTGTGAATGAAAGAGGTACTATATTTGTTCATATTAATTCCTTTTTAACCCCTCCTAATTCTGTGATGTGTAAAAATGTGTGAAAGTAGTGGTATTTGGATAGGACTGATATTTGATCCCCTGGTGAGATTGGAGGTTCATATGAGAATGAGAATGAGAATGAAGATGGCTGTCTACTGGGATGTTGCACTGTGTAGCCTGGTAAGCTTTGACCAACATTTCGTTGTCAGGGTGAATTACCCTGATGATGGAGCCAGTAAGCTCCACAGAAACGTCAGTCAGCATCTAAAAATCTGTACAGTTCTACATTCCAGAAGACAGACATCATCTTATGGTATTGGCTTGTTACTCAGAGTGCGTGTAATTATTGCAGCGATGAATTGTTTTTCTACTTCCTGTGTAGTTGCTAACCAATTTTGTTGTTCTGTTTGTTTCTATCCCCCATCCGTGTGCTTAGCAGGCAACCAACCCGTACCTGACTGGGATGCCTCAGGTGGGCAGCACTTTTAGCCCATACTTCACACCAGGGCCTGTAATGCCAGCTATCTTGGGGCCTGATCCAACATCTGTGGGCTCTCCTCTCAGTGTGGTGCCTCAGACAGTCGTCACACAGCAGAAGATGGCTCGCTCTGACAGGCTTGAGGTAAGTGACATTTTCTGTCTTTTCTGCAAGTGCATCATCTTCAAGCTCTTGGGATAATGCCAGCACAGAGGAAGGTCGGTGCTCACTCAGCATCGCCACCAGACTAGGGTAGCTTACAGGCAGGGTTGTGATTGAAATCACAGCGAATGAGGGATTATTTTCAGTACGTGCTGAACAAGAGCAGATGGACTTTTAATAGATTAGGGAACTTCAGATGCCCACACTTAAATATTCCTTATGTACTTTTTACATCATTGCATTATTTACATATTGGTAGATTTTTACGTTGGCATTATTGTCCTTCTGTTCATAGCTTTCTTACAAAGTGTTGGTAATTTACATGAAATTATTTGTTTCAGGACAGTGTTGAGTAATAGTTTATGTACCTTCTTATTTTGAGTTGCTTGTTTTGTAGTACATTCAATTTGATTTACATATGTTTAGTTTTATACTTCTAGTACTGCTTGTTCTAGTATATATGTTGAATGCAATGGATGTGTGCTTGTCAGCTGTTCCCTCTTGAGTAAGCTGTCCTACATTCTAATGGGTTAAAAATTTTATTTGGTTTATTATTTTATAGCAGATGCAGCTGTCCAGTTTTATTGTGGCATAGTGTGTTTCAGTTCATATCATCTTAGTTTACAGCATCTAATTTTATTAATTTGTGTGTGAATGTTTTTATACTTTGCATGAAAGCAGCTGAAGATTGTGTTGCGGTTTGTTACTTACAGTAACTCTACACTAGTCAGATTATGGGAGGATACTTTTCTTTCAGATGCATTCATAAATTTTTACATAGATTTTGGACACATGTACCAATATTCTTATTCGGGGGTATGTTATTTTAATCTGTATTCTGTGAATGTAGCCTAATATAGTTAGATGTGACTAATAACACTAAAAGGTTTGTAGATGATTCTACTTTCTGTAACAGACTTGTCAGGTTGAAGACTAACAGTGCTGCATTTGGGTGTATGTCACAATAGCAGGCCATTGTGTTAAGGTGGTGGCAAGTGCCATGGGCATTGGAATGTAGTTTCTTGTGTGGACCTTACTTAGCTCAGTCTTTCACTGTCTGTCATTGCTCTGTTTCACTGGGTTTTGGCAGTTGCACTTGCCTGCTTGCCCCCCTTTCATCTACATTGTATAATGTTTTTTCTCTGTCCTCTAATGCCTTTTGCTAGTAGTAACAATTTCCACTGCTATGAGCAAGAAGACATCCTGGCCCCTAACCCTAATAGCCACTAAAATAAATTGGAATCCTTCATATTAACAAACTACAGAATCTTCCTTCCTTGGTCAGTAATCATGTAACGCACTTCATTATAATAGTCGGATGTAACTTTGTAAAATGCTATTTTATGTCCATGTTTCCAGTATTGTACAGTACTTACAGAGATAATACGTGTAACACAAATATCTAATACATGTAATATCAAAATTAATTTTATGCTGTTATGTGAATGACGAAGTGTACAACAGTTATATTGGAAAAGTAAGAAGACTTCCACAAACTTCAAGAATCCATTTTATCCATTACTTATTCCCAAAATAATGATCAGAACATTTCTCCTTTACATGTCCCTTAATTGGGCAGCCACCTAACCTTTAATTATAGCCAAAGGTACAGTTATTACCTTACAGAACTTTTACTATGATTACCTGAAGATTTGTGAATATGTGCAAGTCCCAAGAGATCCAACATTGATAATGTAAATCCTGGTTATCTCTTCAGTCCTTCACCTAAACCTAAACTTGTAGTGCAAGTCAGCTTCCCATTACCTGTGTGCCAGTAGACAGTGTTTTGAACCTCATTCCTCTCCACCCCAACCCCTGGCTGTAGCTGTAGCCTTGCTTCATTCGTCTCTGCTATAGGTCTGTCGCGAGTACCAACGAGGGGCGTGCAAACGTGCTGAAAGTGAGTGCCGCTTTGCGCATCCCCCCGACACCGTGACGGCCAACGAAGACGGCACAGTCACGGTCTGCATGGACGCAGTGAAGGGGCGATGCAACCGCGACCCTTGCCGCTATTTCCACCCCCCTCTGCACCTCCAAGCCCATATCAAGGCCGCACAGTCTCGGGCCAGCCCGGTAGGCATTTCACGGAGCCCCCGCGCTCTTCTGCTCTCGGCTAGCTGTCACATGTGTTTTCTTGTGCCTTATTAGTTTCACTTTTCAAGTAGAATGCAGTTTTTGTGTTGGATTTTGTTTTGTTCACTCTTTTTATATTTAGTAGCTCTAGAAAATCACTATGGTTCTCTTCTTCTGTCTCAATCTCTCTTTCTCTCTATTTCCAGCTGACAACTGGGTGTATTTTTACATGGTGCCATCTTGTGGTGCCATGACCTGTTCATTTTCATTCCTTTTCACTGTGCTTTCTTAGGGTGAAATGGATTCAACCAGTATTAGTAATAATAAATATTGAACCAAGAAAATCCATCGCATGTTTATGAGTTCCAAAAGGGACTGAGTTATAGATTTTATTTGCTTAACAATACAAAATAAAAGGGAACCATTTCACTCTTTACTTGTTGAATGTTGCACATGCTTCCCCTTCATCTGTTTCCTCCATGCTGACAAGCCCTGCGCTGCGAACTTTGTCTGCTCGCCAGTCCGCCGTATGACAAGGCTTGGGGTGTGCTGTGCCCCCTGCACTGCACACTGT